GGGTTTCTGTCGTCTGGTGGCCAGTAGGTGGCGAGCAAAGATTTCGTTCGGTGGCTTGATGAAAACACTATTTAATGCCTTTATAGATGAGTCGAAATCCTTGCAATCTTCGATATATTCGTATACGTTGTGAGAAACATAGTTGATTAGTGTACGATGCTTGTCTGGGGCTTTGTCGCCACATTCTTGAATGAAGTTGTTGAATGTTTGTAGCCAGTGCTTCCACTCCTTCGCTGCTGATGGCGAATTCGGGTCCAAATCAAGACGATGTGGCTTCAATATCGTTTCCATATTGAGGAGCTTGAATTTTATGATTGTCTCCGTATTTAAGTAAAATAAATTGTTGTGATTGACCGTTTTTAGGCTTTATTTTACTTAAAACACTGCCTACAATCCAAGATGGCGGTCACATTTCGATATCCTATAACCGCTGGTCAAAAGTACTTAGGTAAGCGCACAGGGAGCCCAACTTTAACAAAGCAATATTACAACACGTAACTTAAAAAAAAAACAATAACTAAGCCCAAACTGAAAAACAAGTGATAATAATTATTTGTCATAAGTGCATACAAACTACGACAATCCTCAAATGTAGAGAATACTGCTTTACGCATGTAACTTTATAAATATTTCTGAGCAAAATATTTCTTTGTGTTGTTTTTCTTAAAAAAAATTCAACTTCCAACAAATTCATGCTTATATTAAACAAGATGCATTGTCACCCAATTACAGCATAGCATTACGTACACACACAATTCTCGTGTCTGTGGTCTCAGTGTCTKGTCTGRAATATGCTTAAAAGTCTTRTTATTTATAATTTTTGCATRTAAAGCTTAGTCCGTCAGGTGCAGCGAACTGAGTCATGTTAAAATGATTTACTCTTTTTTTGCTGTACTTTAAAGCCGCTGGTCCATTAAGAACATATATCACACATACAGGARGAAAACCAGGACGCGAAGCTGATTAGGCAATRATGGTCGTGGCTGCACATCCAAGAGGARGATCATCACGGCGCAAACCTRTTGTCCCGTCATCGGTCCTCACGACGCATGCAGGAGGAGGGTCATTAGGGYACGATGCCGCTACACRTTGKTTTGTCGCATCCTCATATGAAGGTGGSGGRTAATCAGGGAGAGAATCCCCTGMCCCATGTTTGCTTACAAGGGCATACAAAGGAGGCGGATCATCAGGACAAGAAGACACTGTCACATTGTTGGTRACAGTCGCATATGAAGGATAGGGAGCTTCAGGGCGAGACGTCCATGGCCMAAGGTTGTTCACAAGTGCAGSGCGAGATGCCTCTRGAACATTGTTGGTCCTAACCGCATATCCGTTTGGACGATSATCAGGTTGAGAAACCGCTGTCCCATCATTGGTACAAATCGCATTTACATTAACAGGTCCATCGTTTCTTGATTTTAAAATCTTTGCGTAAGTGCACTTCGCTATGAAACCTACACAAATGACTACCAACAAACCTCCCAAAAGACCAAGAACAACAGTCGTGCCTTGCACCGTGTCATCTGAGCCTGGAATGATATCATATGAATACACAATTTAAA